TCAATAAAAATCTTTCAAATGCAACTGTAGCTTTTTTTCCCCCAAAACTTTGTCTTCAAAATAAGGGTGTATCTTGTACACCAGTGTGTGTTATATTCCAAAAACTACGGTAACAGGGCGCGACTAAGTTGTCATTAAGATCTTCTATGCTCTTGCATTTCCTTTCCATAATTACAGTACAGTTGTTTTCATTCATTCAGCTTTCAAACTTTTAGGTAATATGTTTGCTACCCTATATCAATAAACATTACTGTTACTGCCAAATTTTTAATTCATCAGTTAACATTATCATTTGGTTATTGTTATCAATACAACCGTGTCCTGAAGTGATCACAATAAGCGGTATCCAGTGTATTTAAGGTGAAGAAGTGGCTGTTCTAGAACAGCTTGAAAAACTTGTTAAGAATATACTATTTGGTAAGATGATACTTAGTATACTATATACTAAGATGATCTCGGATTTTTTGAGCAAATTAAGTATATTTTAGAGGTTCAGTGTATGGTAAAGCAATTCTAGAATTTTAATTTTGTAAAGAAATTCTTAGAAGTTATTTTCAAACTGTGCTAACCTGTGCTCTGGGGTAATCAATACAACCACAGGTGTTGTTTTTTATGCTCTTCAAATGCTACAGACAGCTCAATGGCATAACTTAAGTCACAAACATGTTATAAACAACTTTACAAAGTTTTCATCACAGTTGAACTCCTTTTCTATTAGAAAAATATACTAAACCTTAAGATATAGTTATCAACTATAAAAACAAGTTTACAAAATTAGTGTACATTACAGAAACTAACTTTTTTGATATAATGTTAGCAATATTTTACTATGATGTATGAATCAATAAATTTCAAATAAAAATGTCTTGATTAATTGTAACTAGCATGCAAGATAAATAACTTCTAGTTATGAAAAATTGAAACAAATGATACAATTACAAATATGTTAATGTAATGCAACAATACAACAAGTGCCAATTTACAACAACTGAACTACACAATGTATTATTCGTACAAAGTTACATTAACAAACCTGCAATAAACTATTGCTTCTAAAGCATAACTAAATTTAACACTCACACTGAACTAAAACTGAAGCAGTAGTATATATCTAATACTGTTATTTTAAAAAAAAACTGATGACACTAGAGAAATTCCTGGTGATCAGATGACTGCCAATGGTTTCCATATTTATAGAATGAAAAGGTCTAGTGAAAATACAGGAAATTGCAGGCTTATTAGTCTGACTGTTGTTAGTAAGGTTGTTGAACCTGTTGTCAAAAATCATTCAGAAAAACACTTGAAAAGCTGTAATTTAATTACTGATTTTCAGCATGGTTTTAGAAAAAAAAAATTCTGCCTTACCATAGGGCCTTAAAATTAATTGAATGAAACCATCCCAATTGATATTGTTTACCCTAGCTTTCAAAAAACTTTTGATAAGTGTGTCACAAGGACTGATTAATGAGTTGTATGCTTTTGGGATAAGAGGAAAAGTTAAAAATGGAATAAAATTTGGCTTAGAGTTAAAGGGCAAAGAATAATATGTAAATACTTTTTTTGACTGACAAAATATAACTAGTGGGGTTTCTCAAATGTCCATTTTAAGCACTCAGTTCATTATTTATGTTAAAAACTTGAATGACTTTTTACACAGCATAATTTTACATTTACTGATGATACTAAAATGTGCTGATTCTGTTGAGAAATGCCGTTCTAAAGGGTCTTTACAATGTTAATAAATGAGGCAAAGCGTGGAAGATGACTTTTAATACTTAATATTTGGGATAAAGAAAAAGATTTGCTTCTTGTGTGGAAAGTGCATTGGTGTTACAGTAAAAAAAATAAGGATTTAGGTTAATACTCTGTACAATTCTGGATTAACTACTGCAACATTTTTTAATCTGTGCTACATCCAGATATCTCATGTCAATCATACTGTATTTGTGATTAACAATGGTTTATCATATAGATTTTGAACTTATATTTTCTAATTGTATGTTTTATTTTGCAAACATTTGTTACCCCCGCCACTGAAGGTGGACAGAGGTTATGTTTTCACCCCTGTTTTTGTGTGTTTGTCAGCAAGATGTTTTGAAAATGACTGAATAGATTTGGAAGAAAGTTGGTACACCTTTTGACTATGACCCAACTTAGAAGTGATTAGTTTTTAGAGGGTCAAGGTCACAGCAAGGTCAAGAAAATCCAAAAAATCCCTATCTGTTAACATGGGATCCAATTTTTCACACTAGTTTTGCTCTATAACTCAGTTAAAAATGATTGGATTTTGATCAAACATGGTGGACATATGTAAAATATTATTCCTCATTGTCCTCCCAAAAATAGTCTGTGTTCATTGATAATGACAGACATATGAACACATTTTCACATTTTTCAAGGGCCAAATATGATCAAGATCGTGTAGTGGAGGTATGTGTCTCTCTAATTTTCTATGTTCCTATTCCAACTGATGAGTTCTTTTGTTCAATAAGTTCACATTCACTAATCTACTTAAACAAAAAACATAATTAAATAAATACATTTTTTCCCACACGAAAACTTCTATCAAGTATGTATTTAAATACAAATCTACAAATACAAACCATCTTTTATATTTTCTTTAGGAGATTTATTTGGCACTTAAATTTTTTTAATTAAGCATTTTTAGACATAATATCTACAGGTTTCAAGTTCAAAAGTTTGTTTACTTTGTCAACGTATTATCATGAACCTTGTCTCTATAATTGAATCTGAGAGATTTTTGGTTAAAGTTATGAACTTATGAAATGATTTATGCTGGTAGTTTCATTTATTTTAAACTTTTGTAGGATATATCAGCATGAAGAGTTGTATTTCAGTTTGTTTAAAAACATAATATATTAATTATAATAATATTCTATTATTATTCTTATTTTGGACAAGAGGTGACTGTTATGGACACCAACT